TATCTAAATTCTTTTATTTCTCGTTGATCCAGTAGTTTAGAAGATATTTTAATCGAATCATATTTTTATATTTATTCAGCCCCTGCCAGAAAAATGCTGACTTGCAGTCTTCCATAGAAGAAAACTATTTTGATTTCATAATTTTTTTCAACTTGAGTTACTTGACCCCTCCTAATTTTTTCTGCATGCAGCCTGGTTTCTGACATAAAAATATTGCCCATTTAACAATATATCAAAGCATAATTATATTTATGGATTTCCAGTCTTCCATAGAAGAAAACTATTTCGATTTCACAATTTTTCAAAACTTGAGTTACTTGACCCCTCCTAATTTTTTTCGGCAGGCAACCTTGTTTCTGACATAAAAATATTACCCATTTAACAATATATCAAAGCATAATTAGATTTATGGGTTTCCAGGCTCATAATTCATTACTATGTACTAGATATTGGCAAGTTGCTTCACTATACTGCTGAGAGTTGCTGTACTTTTTACTTCAGTGAATTTTATTGAACATTATAAAAAATATCTATGTTTATGAATAGAGCTGGGTGATTAACTCAATCAAAATAACTGTTTAGCTATGAACATCAATTATATTGTTGAGTGTCACACAAAAAAATAAACAAAATTATGACTAAACTGATTAATGTCACAAAAATGTTCAACTATTGTTTCTGATTATTACTATTTTACTATTTATTATTACAACTAGCCAGTAAACAGAATTATGATGAAGTTGTTTAATGTCACTAAAATGTTCAACTAATTCAACTAATCAAAATTAGTATTTCTGATTATACCAACTATCTAGTAACTGATATACAGCCATTATGATTTTTCATTACTATTGTTGATTAATTTAAGTTTGTTCAACTCAACCAATTAGTGTCATGACTCATGAAACTAATTAATTAATCAAAATTTCCACTGTTAGTATTTTAGATTACTCCAACTATCCAAGTAGTCAAAATATGTCAATGAGTTTGTTTGTCATTAAACATAGCTACTCAATGGGCTGCATGTACTCTGCTCACTGCGGGTATCAAAACCCAATTTTTAGCTTTATAAGTTATTTTGATTTTTCTAGCCCTCTTGTTTAAGAATAATTGATCAGTTGAATGTACCTGCTTAATGAGCCCAATGAATTAACAAATTCTACTAATTGCCTAGATCTATGTATGAACAAGATACTATCTGTTTTCACTGTTATCACAAACTAGCAGCAGTTGTAATACGAGTACAATTACAGGTATTTTTGAAAAAAGGGCATGTCAGGTAATTCATCAGTGATTTAACAAAATAGCTAAAATATGTCCCATCTTACTATACTTGAGTTTTGAATATATTACTTGCATACTGAAACATACAACATATTGTTTTTATGCAAAAAAAAGGCATTTATTTATAAGCTTTCATTGAACTGATTAATTCTCACACTTGTTATGTATAGTAAAAGGTCTACATCAGCCACAAATAATGGCATTCTTTCACACAGGTAAAGACAAAAGTGTAAATAACATGAGTAATTTAATACATGTGCTTACAAATTTTACAAGGTTTTCATTTCCAAATCTAATTTTACAGGGCATACATTTAGGTAGCCATGGTTTAAGACATAAAAGATATGAGTTTATACTTTTTTCTTCTTTGTAAAGGAGATTGACTTAACTTTATCTGTAAGAATACCTTGTTTTGATTTTTTAAAGAGTAGTTTCAAAACTCCAATGAATATTGCATAAATATGATTTTAAACATGGTACCAGTTTTACACAAGATAAATATATTCTAAATCCCACTATGAATCAATGAAAGGAAACTTTCCAAAAATATTTTTTCACATGAAAAAGCCAATAATTGAAAAGAGACTCCAGGACTGGGCCTGAACCTATACCATCTGTCTAACAGACAAAGATGACTTGTACTCTTGAATAGCTCATTTAAGCCAACAAATCTGTATTCTTACTTTCAGTTTTTATCTTTTTTTCATGTACAAAAAAATTAATGTGAGATAAACATCCAATACATTTTTCAAAATAATTTAATTTACAAGGTCAAAAATACTTCCTTTATTTTTTTATCTAGTGATGGCTGCTTCTACAAACTTTAACATCATAATACCTAAACACTCTTAAATCCAGCAAAGTGTTATTACCACAAAAAAAATTTAAACTTCTTTTCAAAAGTCCTTTTGCTATATACTACATCAAATGCATAAATAAATACCCATTTTTCACAAATAATACAATCTAAAATAATGCTCGCAAACTAGAATATTGCTGGTTAGTGTTGCAGCTTTGCTAATAAATCTTAGAAGGCACTAGAAACAATTTATTAGTATACATTCCAGAAGGAAACTTCAAGATTCTTGCCGAGTATCATTACACCTGTGATATATGCAATTCAGTCATTTATATTTCAAGATTCTGAGTGTAGAAAATTACTACAATTGTGATTAACGAGATTGTTTCACTTGCTACTGCAATGTTGATTTTACCATTTCCATTTGAGCTGCATGGGATACGCCAAATCTAATTATCAAGAAACTCATTTGATTGGATACCTAGGCAATAAGCACAAAGGTCAGCTGACTTTAATCATACCATCCAGCATCCACAGAGCAGTTTTGACAGCAGCACAGTTAGAAATAGTGTGCCCAAATGATTGCTCATTGGAGGTAATAATAACATAGAAATCGCGTAAACTGTAGATTCTTTTTCCACATTTGTCTTAATTTGTCCATGATTAACACAAATGTTAGATCTACTGGTCTCTAATGCTTTGCAACTTTTCAGCATTTAATACCAGAGCTCTAATTTTTGGTATAGGGTGGCCATCAGTAGTGAGGAATTGTAGTTTTTACCAATCTACATACTCATGGCTTAGATAAACCAGTTTTTTGCCCTAGTGGAGCATCTTTTAACTGTTGTAAAACAGTTAAAATAAAAACACTGTTACAAGATTAAATTGAATTTGGATAACAATTGAACAGATAATGTTTATAAAAATGTAATTCATGAAATAATTAAATGTGGCACAATTACAGTTAATTTTATAGAAGAATAATGTTGTTGCTAGTAGCTGTTCCAAATATGGTACTGGGAAAACATAACTAGCAACCGTTTTATAATGCCTTCAAAAAGTCAAGACCTGACATGTACTTATAAATGAAACTGATGGTCATATATATATACATCTTACAGGTGGAAAACATTCATCTGGTGCAAAGAATGCAAAACAAAAATAGTGGTACTACAAGTAGGTTTTTCACTTAAGTTGCTTATATATATATATATATATTTGTTTTAGAATTATAGAGAATAAAAGCTAAATTTTCTTCTTAATTACTGATGAAATTCTAAGATTTTGATTTTTGATTTTGTACAGACTAACAAAATATTTTGTTACTCATTTTTTCCAGCGAACAAGTTAAAGTATGATAGATCCAGAAATGTAAAACCAGTTCAGAGTCCTAAATGCATAAAGCAGTTATCTTGTTCAATATTGCACTCTAAAGCCCCTGAAATTTCTTTTGTAACTATCTAAACAGGTATTAATTTTTTTTATTAAGACATACACTAGTTAACAATATTGCTACAAAGAGGTCACACAAGTGATCATGACCCATTTTTGAAAATGGAATGGTGACCTAGTTCTACCTAACTGAGAATATATACTGAATATTAATGTTGTATAACATGCAGTTTTTACATTACACTTCCTGCAATTCTACTCTATGTTTCTTGTTAAAATGTTTTACTAAAATGTGTTGTGTATATTCTGAAACCTATGCTAAGTAAAATAACAAATTATTTACATTTTAAAACAGAATTGTTTGACTTAGATTGACCAAGATTTGTATTATATTTTTGCATGCATGGAATAAAAAAAAACATAATTAGTTATGATAACTTATATGTATGATATATGCTAAATAATCTGTATTGTGATTATCAATGACACATGTATTATACATTTTTTAAATATCATCAAACTGTATTCCACAAATGAAAAATATATATTTTAAGTTGAAGTTGTTGTTAACTAAAGAAAGACAAATAGCTATATCTATTAAATTTACATATAATATGAAATTAAAACATTATAAACTAAGGATACTTGAGCACCATTCACATATAATGATACATCTATATATTTATGCTACCACAGACTGTAACACAAACAGTAAAGCAAGCAGTTTATTATATTATTATTATGCCTTATACTGTCTTAATCATTTATGTCTTTCTTTTTTCATTGTTAGGTAAAGAAGTTGAATAGCCTTAACAAAAACAAGTTCAAGCACAGCAACCTCAGTAAACTGGTACAAACCACAAAGATTATTACACTTACATTAACTAATATAATAATTAACTAATTTTGAAACTAAACACTGAAGGATAAATCAAATGAAGCTTCTGAAAGATAAACATTGAACTCACATTTTTTATGAGCTCTTCTTCTGACAAATCTGGGTGTCTTCTTTTTTCATACTCATAACGTGAAAACTTAGTCAGTATTAAAGCTTTTTTTGGTCTAAAATGATGTATATCCTGATTAACCTGGTTATTATGAGAAGTACTCATGTTCCTGCAAGATTCCATATTATACACGTACCTAAGCGTACCGTTTGTCACACGCTGAAAGATATTGGTGTTCTGTGCATGGTATTTGCTACTTGTATTGTAATGAAAAAATATCGCAGACAAGTTGTAATTTACAACGTTCTGCATTTTAGTCGACAGAGGGCACCATGATCTCAATACAAGGCCCAAGTTTGTACCACGTTGGAGGTGTCCATTCCAGTTAAAATATTTTATCAGAAATGAACGTCCATGACGTATTGATTCATATTTGAATAAACTGCGTCCAGAAATTGGCAAACAACGAAGTAACTGTATCATGGTTTAGAAAGTTAAAAGTTGGTAGCTTGCATTCTATACAACTCACAGTAATCACATCCCCATTAGCTGCATTTATAATATTCCTCGTGACGTGATCTGTACACGCTGTTTCCTGTAGATATTCTAATTTATGTTTTAAAAAATTAATATACCAGAATTGTAATATGAAACGAAAATACATTATAGTTAAAATAAATAAATACAACGAGATGTTTTTTCTATACTAAAAATAATAACATTTCGAAAGTAAATGCGAAACTAAAGCTTTGTTTCTGTATTTCTTGAACCTGAAGATAACAAGTAATTATTGTTTAACACAAAAATAATTGAATTTCTCACATAATTTGTCTTGGTATAAAACCAGTTCTGAAAGAAGCCATTACAACGCAACTTTATACGCATAGCCACGATCATAAACATATGCAGAGGTTTTGTTGTCATTATTCTCCATTTAATGTACTTAGACTTTAGTAGTGAAATTTTATAGTTTATATTGCGACTAATTTATTTTCACACAAAATATTTTAATACCTTGCCAAGAGTAAACAATTTTACTTTTAGTTTTATACTTATTATAAGCCATCAGTAATAAGCCTAGTGTATTTTTATTTTAAACTACATTTGTTTCTAGTGCCTTGGGGATTTTCAAGAATTAAGAAAACGGTATAATAACAATTGTTATGGTATGAACGCCTTTTACAAGCTAGTGAAGCATTATCATAATTAATTTTACTTGTCATAAGACATTATGTTAGGCCTATTACCTTTTTAACACTACATTCTTAATCTAGTCCCCTAGGGAGTAGAAGAGTGTACTGTTGCGTCATCGAGATCATGTGACTCTCACGCTCTCTACTATCTAGAATTATCCTGTACTTTGGCGAATGTTCTAGTTCTTACTAGATATAGGGTAGGCGGGTATATAAAAGAGGGGAATGTAATGTGTGGGGA